AGATAGACCTAGACCTACTTAACTAAAGTGGTGGCAGCAAACCGTGACAAATGTGAAAACAATGATCCAATTAGTGAGACGCAACAATGAACACATGAAAAATGATGATCAGTGACAGTGGCACACATTGACATTACTGTCATTAAATGTTTAATGTCTGCTGCATGAGGCCTTATAACACCAAAACACAAGCCTGTAGATTGATTATTATATAACATAAATGTAACATACTGTAAAGTTTTGAGTCAGTAAAGTGTTTCATGTTATTGTGTTAATGAATGTGAATGACATCAAGTGTGAGACAGAGACACCATTGGAATAAGAGGCTTAGCTCACTGACTACTAGAAATACCTCCTGCGACAACGTGTAAATTCATTGGCTGCAGCTTATGTCAATCAAGATTATAGCAGCGGTGCAGATACCAGTGAACTGCTATGGCCTCTGAACTGCTGGAGACCCTTATGCAACTGCATCACCCGCATATATGGTAGTTGTGCTGCTGGTTGTTCAATAACATATACTGGAAAAAAAGAGGGGGAAAAAAATTGAAAGGTTTTGATTTGGTGCCATCTGGCGGTAGTACCAGGATACACTGCAATAGACTGCATAGTACCTTAAATAAGTTTATTCTCTATGATATAAAGTAGTACTTGCGCATATATTATGGGGTAAACCTGCACATAATATTCACCACAGATGATATAACCTCAGAGCCACAGGCTGCAGCGTTGCAGTGATTCACTGACACCAAACAGATGCAGGTAAGCTCAGTGCAAACTTTTCTTTTCACACATGACAAACAGATGAATATACTGCATATGTTTTATCGCTCAAACATTTTCACATGTGAGAAATTCATAAAATACAGTCATGACAAACAGGAATTAAGTTTTAATTTACACACTGTGATAGTGATTAGCTTTTCTGATTAAAGTAACAATATTTTGTCAAACCCCATTTACTCCTTTCTGTATATATTATACAATTCAAGAGAACCAAGTGTAAACTAAGATGACCTTACAGTTTAAATGACACCTCTCTGACACAGAATCTTTTACAAAGATAAATACAAATATACTATTTTTGTTTATTTCAACTTAAACTCAAAACTTAAATTACATAAAAATAGACTTTGTTCCTGAGAAAATGTAAAATGCATAGGTTAAATAGGTTAAATTATAGTGTGTTATATTATAACAAAAAGTCACAGAATTTCAAAGTGCCTGCAGTTAGGCTGTTACACTGTAGTGCTGTAACTGAGGAATAGCTGCAAATCCTACTCTTTGATCACAGTTTTTAAAGTAAACTCTTACAAGATCAAGTCAGTACAGTGTTTAAATCTGAGATTTCCCAGGAAAGGTGATAAGGTAAAATAAAATGAAAATATCAAGCCCACCCTTTCCCTGCATAGATACAGTCCAAGTTCCTGTCCAGCAACTGTTGGTCCACCATCACATCAGGAATCCATTCACTGGTACCAGGGCCTTTGTCAGCTTGTCTCGCATGATCTCCTTGGTTGAGTATAAGGGCAGTTCCAGAATAGAGTGACATGTCAGAGACTCCGGGGAATGCTGATCGTAAGAGTCGCCGGGGCTGAGCTGCTTAACTCGAACCTTCATCTGGATCTGGTCCATGCCAAGAACAGGAACCCTCTTAAAACCAGTCAGGAACCCTGAGGAACAACAATAATGATAATCAATAGAATTACTCTTGATTGCTCACTCACTGCTTACAAACAGCACAGATAACTAATGATGTTAATAACGGCTGCATTCCATTTAGGTGTTCAAGGTCCTGTGCCCTGTTTCTGTTCATGCTGCCTTACTGGGATGCTTCAGTGGAACAGAGCTATCATTAATATTCAATCACTTAGCATTATTTTTGTGGTGAGGGGGGAAGTAGGGGTGTGGTGGTAAAGTGGGAAACTGCCTCACTGCTCTGTATCAACTGCAGGGCTGACCCGAATGCTTCGAAGCGTATTCGAATATTATATTTTTTGTTTGTTTTTTTATCAGGTTGAAACCTAATGAGTGTTTCCCACACATAGAGCTGGCTGCCCAGGTTTATTACAAGCCTAACAACAACCTCCACAGAAATAAGAATTACGGGTGAAAAAAGAAAAAGAGAAGGGAAAAGCAAGGTGAGCAGACTGAAGTAGTTTGTGAGTAAACACTAAAAGAAATTGGAGAAGAAAGTAGAATTATCATCGAGGTTCTGTGGGAAACATTGGATGTTCCTGGTCCTCTTGAGTGGTGGGGATGAGTACAGACTGTTAATCTGCGGCTGGCAACTGTTACTGTGACTGCAATCGATGTGTGTTTTAGCTGCCTGACATTAACCATTCACTCATTCATTAAAACTAGGCACAATACTTACAAATGAAATTTTTCCTCTGCTCTTCAGTGAGTTCATCAAAAACCT